CAGGTCACCCGGTCAAGGTCACCCGGATCCAGGTCACCCGGATCCAGGTCACCCGGATCCAGGACAAGGGACCCCCGGGACACGTTCTCTGGAGCCCAGAGAAGGTGAGAACTGATCCTTCCTTTCATTTCCCTCTTCTTTTATATTACTTTCCCAGAGGTCATTGGTTTTTAAACCAAAACACGTAGTTGTTTTTATCTAGAATTTTAAATTTCTTTTAAAACATTTTTTCCGCGGGAGTTTCTTTTTTACTTGTTTTTCGTCACGTTTAAATATCACTTGATTTTTTTTCCGTTTGAAATCTATGAAACTCCATAGAGAGTTCCTCTATTATCTGATTATCTCGTTTCCTATGAAAGATATCAAAAATCTGTCTACTGATAAAATGTTCCTCGTAATATCAGTAACATTTTGTCAGTTGATAATTTTTTGATATCTCACACAGAAATCGAGATAAATTGACTCAAAGTTGAAAGTCACAGTGTGGGACCTATCAAGTGCCAAAAATGAATTACGAGCTTGAAAAAATGGTTGCATAATCAAGTTTCTTTGAATTTCAGATTGATAATTGTGAAAAATAATTATTTATTTATAGAGTTTTGGGAACTTCAAAAAAACTTTTAAAAAAATATTCCAAATCAAAGAATATAAAAAAATCAAAGAAAGAAAAAATGCTCTAAATCATGAAAGACAATTAAAAAAAGATCATTGGAAATTTAGAAATATTTAGAAAATTCTGGGAGTTTCTAGAAAATTCTAGCCAACACCACCAGGACTATTCCCATCGAGAGCTTTCCAAAATCAGCAGAATTACAGTTATCATCTTCACAAATGCTACAGTAACCCACGCCGTCCTGATCGGCGCATACTGTAGATGACGACTCGCATCTGGAGCCTTCTGGAGCGCACGCGCGGACCGTGAAGTTGGAATCCACTGGAAAATGTTTCGATTTTTCAAATATAATCTTGTTTATGTTTATTTTGAAGCTCTAATCTTGTTGGTTTCAAAAAAATTAATTTCTTAAAGTTTGGTTGCATATTGACTGAGTTATGGTAATTTGAAAATTTAAGATTTTTCGAGAAAAAAAACTTATTTTGGAAATTTTGGGTCTTCTACCAGTTTTTCAAATTTTTTTAAATCAAAATTTTTAAATATGGTCCCAAAATTGGTCTCCAAGACTGAAATTCGAACCGAAAGTTACCGGAAACTTCTAGAAAATTTTTTTTTCCAAGAGTATCTTTTTTTTTGCAGCTCAAGATGCTCCATTTATTTGTTCCGTTCTCTTTTTTTCCTTTTGTTCAATATGAAGAAAAATCCAGAAAAAACCGAAATAAATGTTCCACATTTTTCTAAGGGACCGCCAAAAGTACGACAACACTTGAAACTGGAAATTTCTGGAAATTTCCGGAAACTGGAAATTTCTGGAAATTTCCGGAAATTCAGAAATTCAGAAATTCAGAAATTCAGAAATTCAGAAATTCAGAAATTCAGAAATTCAGAAATTCAGAAATTCAGAAATTCAGAAATTCAGAAATTCAGAAATTCAGAAATTCAGAAATTCAGAAATTCAGAAATTCAGAAATTCAGAAATTCAGAAATTCAGAAATTCAGAAATTCAGAAATTCAGAAATTCAGAAATTCAGAAATTCAGAAATTCAGAAATTCAGAAATTCAGAAATTCAGAAATTCAG